TTTTTTATAATTAAGTAAAGTTTCAAAAATATTTCTAATTTAAGAGTTTTTAAATTACTCCATTAAAATCGAGATAATATCTCGCATAAATAATAATCACTGAGAGCCCCATATAGTTAGGCTAGGTCTCAATAACTATATTTAATTGAGATGTTGTCTTATTTAAAATATTTTTCTTTAGAAAACTCAGCTTGAAAAAAATTATGCATGATTTGCATAAACATAATACATGATGAATGCATGATTGAATGACAAGGTATGAATGCATGTAATAATGTAAAATAAAATGCAAATGCATGATTGGTTTAAGGGTTGGTTTGATTTTGAAAGGTTGTTTAGGATTTAGAAGGTGGTTTAGGGTTTAGCACGTGATTTAGGGTTTAGAATTTAAGATTTAAAGTTTTAAATTTAGGGTTTCATCAAAATTTGAGGTTTCATGGAATTATGTATGTAACAATTACAAATTATAAAAATGTCATTAATTACAACCCTAGTTATTTACAAAACTAAATTACAAATAAGATGTGCATGCAAAATCAAGAAACAAATGGATCAAACACCAAAAAAAAAACTTTTGAATTTTATTTGAATGTTCCATCACTTTTTTTTTCTTAAAACCCAACTAAACAAACATAAAAAACCATCCAACCAACCTAATAAAACAACATTTTTGCATTGAAAAATTTGATCCAACATCCAAAAAACTTGAATATCATAACAAGAACACAATCCAACACATGGAATTAAGGAGCAATCAACCATAAAACAAAGAAAACAGAAAGAAACAATATGAAAATGCTTTGGAAAAAGTGATGAGAATGTAAGAAATGCAAGATAACAAGTAAATGAATTATAATTTTAAACTAGCAAAGATTTTTTCTCTTTTGTTTTTTTCTTTTTTTTTTCTTTATTTCTCTCCTATGCTTTTTACCTTTCTAGCCCTCTCATTCTTCTGGTTCTTCATGTTTTCCAACCCCAACCCATAAAGAAGAAGAAAAATCTTCTAGATAAATGCTAGCCTTTAGATTAAAATTTCATCCAAGAGCCAAAAATCCTCCATTGTTTTCATTTCATAGAACCAACTTTCACCATTATATCCATTTTCCCAAGATGATCCAATGGTCTAAGATGCACACTATCAAAGATTGGATTTTTATAGCAATTAAAACCAAATGAAAAGATCATTTTGCCATTACTATAAAGCTTTCAATTTTTAGGCTATTTTCTTATAAATCAATGATCATTTATTCATTTTTGAGATTTTAAAGCTAAAAAAATTCATGAAATATTATGAAATTAAAATCTAAAAATTTTCATGAAAATTAGACTTTGAGAATGTCAAATTATGAAATTGCCCCCAAGGGGTATTTTGATAATTGCACACTTACCGAAGTACTGTTTTGGTTTTGAATGCATAAAAAATCATCAAATATTATAAAATCATGATCTAAAAATTTTATGAAAAATTGACCTTGAAAATGATAAATTATAAATTACCTCTAAGGGGTATTTTGATAATTTCATACCTCCCAATGTACGATCAAGATTTTCAATACTCTAAAAATCATCAAATAATATAAAATTATGATCTAGTGCTTTTTGTAAAATTCTAACCTTCGAAAGGTCAAATTATGAAAATATCTATAAAGAGTATTTTGATAATTTTACACCTCCCAATATGCAATATGGGTTGTTAATGCATCAAAAATTATGAAAATATATTCAATTATACTCTTGAAGTTTTCATGAAAATTTGACTTCAAGAAAGCCAAATTACAAATTACCCCTAAAGGCATTTCAGTAATTTTACACTTCTCAAAGTGCAATTAAACTTTTTAATGCTTTAGAATCATAAATTTCGATCTTAATCCATATTGATTCTAATTTGGTTGTGAAATTTGAAAGTTGACCTAGATTCTATTTGTTTTAATCAAATTTGACCAATTTTAATTAAGTTTGACTAATTTTAACTTTGTTTGACCGAGTTTGATTAGGTTTAACTAGAATTAACTTCAGGATATTTTGGTTAAATTGGTCCCATTTTGATTTTAAAAACTTGTCAAAATTAAAGAAATGTTTGATTTGAATCAAGTCAAAATTTAAAACATTTCATAAATGATCAGATTTTGCCTAAACAAAATGAGGTGCCTACAATTGATTTTTCTTATAAAAAAAATCTTGAATTTAAAAATGAAAAAATTAATTGATCCATTCGAAGAATGGATCGATCAATTTTTTACATAAACTTCACTTATTCAAAATTGACAAAAATCAATTGATCACTTCCTAAAATGGATCGACTAGTTATTTTTTTTCAGAAACACGTCTTGGCTTGAAAGGTCAAAACTAATCTATCCCCTTCAAAGATGGATCGATTGGTTCGGCCCTAGTCACATTTTCTTGTTTTTACATAGCATTCAATGCACTAAATGAAAGCAATGACTCTTATCTCATTTATGCCTATATAAAAAGAACTCCCACCATATTATGAGTCATCAAGAGCTAAAAGAATTTATTGTTATCTATTCTTCATCTTTTTCGAGCATTAAAACGTAAATTGAAGTGTGAAATAACATAACATCGCATCTTGTATTCAAATCTTCTTAATATTATTTATATCTTTTATTTGTACTTTGAATTTATAAACATCCAACTTAAAGAGGTTTTTAAGTTTGCAAAACAATTGTATTCAGCCTTGAGATTGAAAGCTTGAAAGGAAGTATAATGCTTGTGTGGTTTTTTAAGAAACTTAGAAAACCATTGAAAGGATTAGTTGATTGTATCAATAGCTTTAGAAGTGCTAGTTGTAACATTCAACATATATATAATGGATTAAGCTCCTTAATAAATGAGGCTAAGAGAAAGAACGAAATTACTTTGTGGAAAGACCAAACCTTTAAAATTTCATATATTTAATTTTTCATCTCTACTCCTTTACATTTCAAGTTATTTTCCTGTGCATATATATAGTTTTTATTTGTTTAGAAATTTATACTTGTGATAATTGTTTAATTTGATAATCAAATTATGAAAATTTTTAATTAACCAATTTACCCTTCTATTGATTTATTTAATACTTTGAGCTAATAATTATTTTCATAATTTGGTACTTAAAAGAAATTTATGATTTGATACCTTAGTTTATATTTTAGATTATATTTTAGATGGAGCCCATATGTCACATTAGATGAAAAAAATAAAAAATTACTTTTGTAAATAAAACCGATTGTTTTCTTTTTAAATTAATATTTACAATTGGTTTTTAAAGCTTAATATTTACAAGTTAAACTATAGGAAAACTCAACAGCAAAAATTTAGGCATAATTTTTGGCCTTTCTTTTCCCATGCTGGAGAAGAATTCAACAAAAATTTCAACAGTAAAAATCCAACAGTCAAAAGCTGAATCAAAATTCATAGAGAGGCCAATTTTTAGTCAATAGATACAATAAAAAAAGAAACACGAGAGCAGTAAAATCAACATTACAATTAACACAACAATTAACACAACAATTCATAATCCCCAAACCAACAACAATCGACAAAAACAATAGATAAAAAAAGGGAAGCATTCAGTGGAACTTTTAGCAGAGAGTTCTTTTCCACTGATGGTTTCAGTTTGTGGATTTTTGGATTTGTTGACTGCGATAACAATAGGGTTCAAGAATCAGAGGAAAAGATGGGTTTAAGGGGTGGCTTTGTTGGATTTCCGTAATCGATTTTAAGAGAGATTTAAGGAGTTTTGGGGTTCAAGAATCAAAGGAAAAGAAGACCACAGAAAGACATTAACATAGTTGATTTCAAAGTGTTCTAGAAACAGAGAACAGGATTTTTCTATTAGGAGTCTTAGGTTAAAATCGTAGATCTGCGCTGTCTTAAAAGTTTTTACAGAAAACCAATAAAAAAAAAAAAAAAGTGAAAAGCATATCGAAAGGAACTTAAAGAAAAATTTTGAGACTAACCGACACAGACGACCACAGGTGGCGGCAAAAAGTGGAGTCTTATCAGACTTTGGGCATTTTGGGTAGTTGCCTTGAATATACGAGAGAATAAGAAAAAGAAAATGAGAAAAAAAAATTGATTTTACTTAAAAATTAATTTTTTATTTTTGTCTGACATGACATGTGATCTCCTATTCTGATGTAACTTGCTTTTTTGAATTGAGATAATACATGGCATTCATTCATTGGAAGAAAAAATCACTTCATTTTTTTCATTTTTTTTTTACATCAAAAAAATAAAATTTTTTTGTATAAATAAAAAAAATTGATTAGAAATTAAATTTTTAATGTCTCTTTTAAGTATTTTTAATCTTTAAATTAAAGGTTCGGAGATTATTCTTTTCATAAACGGAATTAATGCAAAGTGTACGAAGAAATATAAATTAAAGTGTTAAATCATGACTTTTTTTTTAAGTACTAAATCATAAAACACACTCTACTTTAGGGATCAAAATATATATTAACCCTTGATATTTCTATTACTTGCTTGTCACTTACAATTATTGGCATTATCCGTAAATTTTTAGGAAATCCTTGTCCCATCTCACGTTACTTTCTCGTCCCTTTTTTTTTTTTTATTTTTTATTTTTGCCGGTTACTTTTCCTATCCACTTTAGAAAAATAAATAAATAAATAAACAAACAAAACCAAGGAGACCCCTTAACAAATTTTCTAAAATTTTTTAATTTTTAATTTTATTTATTTAATTTATTTTAAAATATTATAAAATTTTAAAATCAAATGATTATTTATTTCTTTTAAAAAATCGATTTTAATAAGTTTAGAGTCTTCAATTTTTTTTTGTTTATCTCCTGCTACAAACATTTATTATATAAATTTTATATAATCCGTAATTTTCAAAAACTCTATTTAATTCGCACGGTATCTGAACTAATATTTAGTTAAAACGAACTTTCCAATAATTAAAACTCTCTCTTTATAATTTAACTAAAGTTCACAATTACTTTTAATTTGTAATAAAATATAGTTACAAATATATTTAGTATAATATTACAGAGAAAAGTTGATAGAAAAGGGAGGAAAAAGGGTTTCCAAGTAAATTCACTCTCCTCCGTGCCAAACATTAATGCAAACACTCGCTCCTCGTAATCTGCTAAACCATTCACGAGATAAGATTACGCCAAAGCAGCGCGTTGCATTCACCACCTAAAATAGGGCGTCAGTCAGCTCACTAACGGAAAGAGGCCTCCTAAGCTAAGCTGCGCTAGAACAAGGGATAGAATTATAGAAAGTAGGGGAAAAACAAAAAAAATAAGAAAAAAGAAACGAATTTTCCGAAGAAAATTGCACAGAAAACGAAAGAGAGAATTGCCCTTTTTATATTCTTCGCTAGGGTTTCAGTTTCTCTTTTTTTTTTTTTTTTGTCTTTTCTTCTTCTTTTCTAGGCATCCAAACAGAGGGTAAGGAAAAGGTGGTGTGTTTTTCCGGGGGAAAGTTTGAGGTTGTTGTTCCTTTGGTGGAATTTTCCGGGAAACAAGCAGAAACTTTTGTGTTGTTTCACAAGGGAAGGGAAGGGAAGAGAAGAGAAAAGATGATGATGATGATGTCATCAGCTTCATCGTCAGCTGCATCAGTTGCAGTAGACAAGGCAACGAGCAATCTTCTAATGGGTCCTGATTGGACCATGAACATCGATATTTGTGATTCTGTTAATTCTAATCATTGGTAAAAAGTTTTTTTTTTTCTAAGTTTTTCTCTGACTTTGATTTATTTTTCAGTTTAATTTCTTAACTTTTACGTGCATGCTTTTATGTTGATGTTTAAGTTTTATGTTTTAGAGATTGTTGCTCTGTAATTTTATCATCTCTTCTTGTTTTTCTTTTGATTTATGTATTTAATATGGTTGAATTATGGATGTTGGTTTTCCTTTTTTTGGATGGAATTTGTTGAATTTTCTCGTATTCTTGGTTGGGCTTTGTATATATAAAAAAAGCCCATGATTCTTGTAAAGGGTCTTTTTTTTTTTAATTATTTTTTGGATTGAATTAGATGAAGCTACTTGAAGAAAAGGTGATATAATTTTCTCAACCATCACTGTAAAATGATTAATGATAGGCAAAAAAGGAAAGGCTTTCTGAGAAAAAAAAGTATTTAATAGACAAAAGAAAATATTAATATATATGTCTTTAGTTTCTCTGTTAATGTTATGTCTCTTTTCGGTTTTGTTTATTACTTTTTCAAGGGGTTTTTTTGTGAACGGAAACTAATATAAAATTTGCTTAGTTTACTGATATGGGTGGATTGTGGTTGTTGAATTTCTCAGGCAAGCAAAGGATGTTGTAAAGGCTGTGAAGAGAAGGTTGCTGCACAAGAGTTCCAAAGTTCAATTACTTGCTTTGACGGTAATTTTTATTGGAGAACAATTTTTTCAAATTCCCTTTTCTGTTTCTTCGCGATTTCATTTGTCATGTGTTTTTGTGGATTAACCACATGTCATTTCCCCTTTGTAGCTTTTGGAAACGATGGTGAAGAATTGTGGTGACTATGTCCATTTGCAGATAGCTGAGAGGAATATATTGGGGGAGATGGTCAAAATTGTGAAGAAGAAGGTAATTCTTTGATTTTACCAATTCAGTTATTAAAAGTATTGTTGGTCACTTTATTCTGGTTAAAGCTATTATAACTTACTTTCTTGCTTTTTTCAAAAGGAAAATTTTCTCCTTTTTTCCTCTTTTATAGCTATCTTAATTCATCGCCCTTTAGAATGGATAGAACTAGCTCAGAGCCATAGGTTCTTCAAGGGGTCATCGTTAGCTATGGAGCAAATGTCTACAATAAAATCAAGAAGGGTGTGAATGTAGTTGTGTAATGAAGATTTGTGCAGTTGGTAAGACATTGAAGGAAAATTTATCATGTAGCATAAGACCTCTAAAAGAGAACAATCTTATTTCTATATTGAACGTGCTTGGCATTCACTTCAATTGATGACTGATACTAGTGTTCTTGAACCTTTGTACTATTACACACCAACAGCTATATTTGCATCCCAAATTTAAGTTTGGTTCATGTTATCTGGGAGGAAAATGATTTTTCTGAAGGATGGCATGACTGGTGCGAACTCCAAAAGATGGATGATGAAAATCATTGAGCTAGTCATGAATGTTGAATGGTAGTGGTTGTCCAAGTATTTTGCCTTTGAGGAGAGTACTTTTACCAGGTCGTTGGTTTTGCTGTTATTTAGTTTTTTATGCATGTTTTGACTTTTGATTCACAGATTTAGTATCTCATTTCTATTATATCGTCCTCTCATTGTCTTGCCAGTATATGGCTTTTTTTTTTTTTTTGGTATTATTATTTGTTGGACTGTCTCTAATCTAAATGATTCGTCTATTTTCTCTTTCTATTTAAAATCTCAATCTGCCTCTCAGTTTTAATGAGCCTGACTGACTGAATTCTGCAGGCAGATATGATAGTGAGAGACAAAATCTTGGCTTTGTTGGACTCTTGGCAGGAGGCATTTGGTGGTCCTGAGGGTAAACATCCTCAGTACTACTGGGCATATGATGAGCTAAGGGTAAGCATGGCACCGTAGGTAGTTAGATGTTAATATTGGAATGGCATCGAGGACATGATATCCAAGGATTTCCGCTTCTAAGATCAATTACTCCCATCCTCTTTGACTACTCTAGTGAATCTAAAATTATATAACTGTAAAAATGGCAGCGTTCTGGAGTAGTATTTCCCAAGCGTACATCGGATGCAGCTCCTATCTTTACACCACCTGCTAGGCGTCCAACCCTGAATCATGCTGGTTATAGAATGCCAAGCAATTCTTCTAGAAGGCTTGACGAAACAATGGCTACGGAGATTGAAAGTTTAAGGTCTAAATTCACTTTAGTTTTGTTTATAGAGTTTCTTTGTTCTTCTGCAAGTGTTTTTTGTCCTGCTCCTCCCTTTTGGCTGAAATTTTCCGTGATTATCTTAGTTTGTCTAGCTTGGACTCAATGAGGGATGTTATGGAGCTCTTAAGTGACATGATGCAAGCTGTAAACCCCAGTGACCGTGCGGTATGAACGACTAATAAAACCTTTTCTTTGATTTATTTTGAGACTAAAATCTTTAACTGCACTTTTTGTTTGTATTGGCAGGCAATAAAAGATGAAGTGATAGTTGATCTTGTAAACCGATGTCGTTCCAACCAAAAAAAGCTTATGCAGATGCTTACGACTACTGGGTTAGTTGTCGCCAAATTTCTCTTCTTTAAATGGCATTAATGACTTTCTGCACATAGCCTTCTCTATTATCTTCGTTCGCAAGTTCATCTATCGGATTGCTCTGCCTAATTGTTGGACCCATAGTTGGGAAGTCTAGGACTAAGAATGAGATGCACCTTGGAACTTAAAAGCATGAATCCTGAAAGCATATCCTCTTAATTATCAATATCTTCGTGGTCCTCTTCTTATCTATGCATCCACCTGCGATCTTGTGTTTCTTTATTTGCAGCATGAGTTGTGTGTGGATTTCTAAAAGTCGGAAGTTCTTTCTTTTACACATGGCCTATGTGTGGATACTAAAAGCTCTTTCTTGGCTATGTGGCAGGGATGAGGAACTTTTAGCTCGAGGTCTTGAACTAAATGATGGTCTACAAAGCATACTTGCAAAACATGATGCCATTGCTTTAGGTTCGCCCCTGCCAATTCAAGTTGCTAATATAAGCTCCAAGCCAACTGAAGCAAGTGCATCCAACAAATCAAAAGAAGTGAAGAATTCAAGCCCAGCACCTAATATCAGTCCACCTGCACCCATTGCTACTGTGACAAGAAGCCAGATTGACGAAGAGGAAGAAGAGGAAGATGATTTTGCACAGCTAGCTAGAAGGTTTCATAAGCTAACCTCTAATTCATCTTATATTTCCTGTCGCAATCCTAGAAATGACTAATTTTATGTTGGCGTATGCGGCTTGTAGTTAGGCAAAATCCGCTTATAGAGAATTAGAGCATGACTTACATTCCATGATAATTTATTTGTTCTTTCTTTTATTAAAAAGACAATAAAAGAAATGCACTTAATTATAAGTTATTGTATGGACAAAATAGTCAATCTTTTCAGTGAAACCCATCTTAAGCCTTGATAACTATTCTCATCTTTTATAGAAGGCCGACAGCTTGCTTTCCTTTCCCTTTCTCTACCACCAAACATCATAGTTTTAAACATGTTCAGTTTGGCTCAGATATTGACTGGTCCACATTTTGTTACGAGTGCAGGCACTCCAGAGCACAGTCCACCTCTTCTCAGAGCACATCCGCTGGAACAAGTAAAGCTTTTGTGCCAATCAACAATACGTCTGTGACAGCTTCGTATGTTCTGACTGCCCCAGCCTCTGCTCCGTGCAATGCATTAGCTTTGCCTGATCCACCTGCACCAGTTAGGACTACAAAAGAGCAGGACTTGATTGATCTCCTAAGCCTCACCTTGTCGACGTCAGCTTCCTCCCCCCATACCACTCCTACACCATCTGCATCTCACCAAAATCTGCATCAGGTACCTGTTCCTCCTAGGACCCAGGGAAGTCCTTGTGCTTCCCAAACCTACCCTGGAAGTCAGGGACAGCTGCCATATAATAGTTATGTTGTTCCTTGGGCCCAACCTCAAAAAACATCCCAGCCTCAAGTCCTGCCACAATATCATTCCCAACAGAAGGTGCAACAACAATCCCGACCCCAAAGCCAGTTCCAGCCAGAACTCCAAACTCAAAACCTGTCAAACTCACTGTCTCAGGCCCAACCTCAGTTCCAAACACGATCCCAACCTCAAGTCGGGCCACAGTCCCGGATTCAACTCCAGCCACAATCGCAAACCCAACAAAGACCTCAGCGCCAACCACAACTACAAATTCAACTTCAGCACCAAGCACAGTCCCAAACTCAAACTCAATCATTCCTCCAACCTCAATATCAGCCACATTTGCAACCTCAATACTCCTCTGGGTACCCCCCTCCACCATGGGCTACTACTCCAGGTTATTTCAACAGCCAAAATCACCTTTCCTCTGCAAATAACATGTTTTCTACTCCCCAACTTAACGCTAGCACATCAAATACCATGATCGGGAGCAGACCCTTGCAGCACGTTAATTCATTTGCCATGAGAGGAAGCAATGGAGCACCAATGAATGGGGATTCTTGGGGGAGTATAGGTCCTAGGAACCCGGCTCCTGTGGCAGGACAGAAGCCCTTTATTCCATCATACAAATTGTTTGAGGATTTGAATGTGCTTGGAAATGCCAACGGAAGGCTTAAGATGACAAGTAGTTCATCTCCTAGCTTGTCGGGTACTTCTGCCCAAAGTATGGTTGGCGAAGGGAAGTGAGACAATTCAGCTCTATGCAAGGATATGTCCATGTGAATATGATGTAAACGTTGAATTGTCTTTTAGATTGATTTGTGATTCATTATTATTGTCATATGGTATAGTTTTTGTTGTGTGGTGCCTAAGATGTTTGCCACCTGCAGAATTAGAATTAATAGCTACAACGTCGTAGTTTTGATTCATAAGTAACCATCATTAAAGGAACTTCATCAATTAAGGTGATTTCATTCCGAACACATCCATCAATTTGGTAGGATTTATACATTTATCAGTTAAAAGTGTTAGAACCTAGAACTACGCAGAAAGGTTATTCACAACTAGAATGGCAGCAACACGTGTTAGACTTATAGAGCTTTAAGAGTGGCAACTTAGAGCTTGCCTGTAACTAATCTGCATGCGATATCTGAAATTACGATAATGACAAGTCTTGTACAAATTAAACACATGGAACACTGAACGAACACACTGAGAAGGATGAAAACGATGAAATAATTGGAATAACTATTTACATGCATATACCTATATCACAGATTATTTGCCAAAGCCCCCCGTAAATATATGCAGGATAGGATTTCTTCCAAACATGTGTGACAACCTACACCGGAGGCTAATGAATCTCTATATATAGCATTACAATCAGCCGATTGTGCACCCCCCCCCCCCCCCTCTGCCCTGATTTTCCAGGCACACCCACAGTGAAATTGTAAACGTGGCAGCAACATACCAAACACTTGATGGTCCAAATCAAATATTTTGCTTCCGTTAACTTGGATCTCCACAACACAGAATTTGTGTTAACACTGTTTCATCCACGGTTTGCTGCCTCCCAAATTCATGAAATTGGGAAAGAATTAAGCATTCATCTTGTCTGAGAGTTCTCATCAGCATAGATAGAAACACAGGCATCAGCAGCACCAGCAGCAAGCAATACTTGGTAAGGATGGAAGGTAAGGCAGCTCACAGAACCAATCTTCTGGGCCATGAAGGTATGTTGGTATCGAATTGTGCCTAGTTGTTCACCCTCCAGACTGAAAACTTTGATTAGCTGTTTCGCTGAACCACTGGCAATTATTGGGGCATGTCTATGGACAGCTAAAGCTGTAAGGGACCCTCTGTGAGCATCAATAGTAAGGTAAGTATCTCCTTGACTTCTAATATCAAGGAACTGAATATCACCAGCCTGGGATGCACTAACAATCTGAAAATCGATATCCAATGTTCGTCAGCTTTCTGTATTACCTCAATCAAAACCTCAATGAAATGTTAAACAAGGAACAAGGATGATGACAACATTTGAAACCTCTTTTTACCAGACAAAAGACCGGTGAGCTGCTTACCTTTCCTTGATCAAGTCCAGGTTGAAAGCCAATACCCACAACTCTTTCTACTTGCTGAGTATGTGGCCTAGTTGAACAAACCAGCCTATAGCAATAAAATAACAATCTTGGATCAGACAGAAAATACAGGTGAGAATATGAGAATTTTTTTCTGAAAGAAGAGAGGGAGGTGCGTGTTAAGCAATATAATGGTGGTCAAATGTCCTGAGATCATGAGAGAAATATCAAGTCTATAGTGACAACAGATGGATGAGTAAAACAATAGGAATACACTGTTGTAAAATACTTCACTTCCACTAGTTGACAAAATTAATAAAGGTAAGGAACTCTATAGCAGCTTTAAACTGGAAAGATCATAGGAATAAAATTAACTATGGAGAAGGTCACAGCACTCAAAGCTCAAAATTATATCACAAACAGGAAAAAACTGTCATTCAAGAATAGTATAATTCATTATCTTCTCAAAAAATTTAAAAAAAAAAATCATTATAGAGTGCTTACATGTCAGGTATTCGGATGTCATAGAGTCTGACAGAACCATCCACAAAACCAGCTGCAAATTGACTGCCATGAACTTGAGAAGAAGCCTGTAAATGTGGGGGAAAGAAATCAATGGGGAAACTAGGTAACATGAGATAAACTGCTAAAAAAAAAAAGCAAGGAACAATGGTCAATACAGGTCAGATAACAAGAAAAAAATAAGAGCAAGATCTTTAATTAATGTGAAATAATGTGAAATAGAAAAATCACACGCCATTTTAATTCTTCACCTAGAATGCGATACAGTTTCACAATCCAAGTTAAAAGTATGTCAGAGACAAACAAAGAGAAATATAAACAAACAAAAATAAAAAGCAAGACAACAGCTATCTTCCTTTACACATCAAATCCAAGAAACAACTTAAATCAAATGCAAAGGTAAGGTATAATTCAAGCCATCTTAACATATAACTGGCATGGAAAAAATAACCTCCTTTAAAAAACAATCCAAGAGAGTTCTGTTATCCTTTGGTTCGGTTAACTCAATATTCAGGAAAGCATACAAACTAATAAAACTTAACAAATTTTCCACGTTTTCCATTACAGCATGCTTCTTACTGACCAACTCCATAGTGATATGCACTAATTTTTCCAAACACCTGTTGTCATTTGCATGTATACAAGCATGCTCAACCAAATAGGTTAATAAACTTAATATCATTGAAGACTCACCAGTGCTGAGACACTGCAATCCGAGGATGATGGTATTGAATTAACAAGCTGCTCCTTATCCAGGTCCCAAAGCATGATGGATGATATCTCTCCAGAAGCATACTAGTGGTGTGACATCAGAGCAATGAAGAATATATTATATCAGGCATCAAAATTATAAGCAAAGAAAATGTTCATAGAGATAACATTCAAGAATAAAGGAATACAAGATATCCAGACAGCTGCTGCCAGTCCACAACAGCACTCAAACTCCGCACACCAGGTTTGTGACCTTGGATTGAAGAAAATGCAGTAACCAGTTTCGGATTGCCCCTAAGTGTATAATCTTTCCAGACCCGAATATTTCCATCACCTGTATAAGATAAGCCCTAAATTAATTTTACAAAACAAACCACCATGAAACATTTTAAAAAAAGGTAGAAAAGAATATTACATGAAGCAACAAGCAACAAGCTGTCATCAAGCTCATTCAAAAGACAGAGTTTAGAAATTCCCTTCTCTGGAAAATCATGATTGTCAAAACAATTGAGAAGGGTGGCTTCCTCATAATTCCATATCCTGAAGAGAAAACCCAAACAATTAATATGCCAGCAAATAATTTACCGAAATAAATTGTGAAAGTGTCAATGGAAACAATATAAATGAGCAGCACTAAACTCATCTAACCCATTTCGGAAGCATTGTCCATTTTTCAGTAACAAAAAAAAAGCCACTAGCAGAAAGCAATTGACAATATATAACCCTTCATGAAGAAAAAATCCTACTTTGTCATAATAATATTGTAGGTTAGCAACAGATCTTCTAAGAAACACAAAATATCAATCTTTTTAAGAGTTTATATCTGATGCACATAATGTGAAAGTGAATCACAATATGCACCTCATCAAATCTTTTTTAAAATCAATATTAATAAAAATTAAATTGATGCATTTCTGGTGCATAAGTACATATGCCGTCAATGATTACAGCTCACCATCTCATTAAAAGTCTTAAAAACCTTAATAATAAATGTTAGTTTCAATGAGATGACAACTTATGACTCATTGAATTTATAGAATCATATAGACATTGCATCAAATATAAATCTTACTAGTAGATACTAATTTTTTTTTAAATAACAAATTTTTATTTACACTAGAAATACATCTCCAAATGTCTCTTCCAAAATCAGTAAAGTACCATATCTACTAAATACAAGGATAAAAGCCAAAACCTTAGACAATTGGCTTTGCTTCAGAAATGGAAGAGAAATTTTGTTCAGAACTTCATGGGATAAAAACAAACTGTTCTCACAATGTACAGGTACTTGAACCAAGAGGCTCTCAAATTCACAAGCAAATTAGAGTATCTTACATTGCAAAACTGATAATGGAATATACTCTTGTTCCTAGTTAATAACATCTCACATGAAATACTGACATGGCCATTTCTCAATTGAAAGTTCGAGGGCATTTTCATTCTTCATTACTCAGAACCTAACAGATCACTCTAAAGCTTCTAGTGAACAGTTTTAAGGAATTTTTTTTCTACTAAAGAAAGTAAATAACCCAAACTTCCAATGTTTTCAATAAGTTTCCCCTACCGTGCTTAAATTACCAATTTGACCTAAAATTATCGAAGCATAGGATTGGAAGTCAAATTTACCCCAATAGATAGATTACTGTCATTTAATACTCATATCCATGGATAAAAATGAGTAATAGCCCATTCGGTGACTCCCACTGTGCAGTGGGGAGTCACTCGTGCTGTGCCGCAGCCTCAGTGGGGCCTAAAGGACACTGGCACTTCAAGTGACTCCCCACCACACTGGGGGCAGTCACTGGACGAAGCTTAAATCAATCAATTCCTAATGGCATGTTATCCAAATCATTTAAACATTCAAAACTGGAACTGACAGCTTTAGGAATCCATTAAAACAGAAACCACATACCTGATTCGTTCATTCTCATCTGCTGCAATCACAATAGGAGAGAAAGGTTGCAGCAAGGCTGTTCTTGTACCTGTCTCGAATTTTGTATCCCAGCTAGCAATTTGATTATTATTATTAAGTTTGCTAGCAGCTAGCAAAGAAAATGAGAAACCAGTCAGTTCCAAAGTAGGAACTGGCATGAGAATAGTATCAAAAGAACAAAAAACAAATAAGTTAAAAGGCATACAGGAATGCTGGCATTTAGCAATATGCTCCAGTGCAAATCTCTCCCGCTCTTCTCTTCCGGCCAATAGTTCTTCACTATCATCAGATGCAGTAAGAAGTGGCTTGGAGAAGTGGCCACAACTAAAATTATAAATAGTTGATTGTGGAAGTAAACTGCGCTCTGAAACCCCAGAACCAGAGCCCAGAAGTGGGTCAGCTAATCCCGAGTCTGAAGAATTCATCAGGAGAGGCCTGAAATCTAAAGAGCTAACTCTACGCATGCTTGTAAAGTAATTTTGTCGAGGAGGGCTAACAGGAGGAGTTCTAAACGTTAAAGGTAGATGACCTGTCAACATGATCTCCAAATTACTTCAACGTCTAAATAGAATAAAAGATAGCATCATTGCAAGCGAAGATCAGGGAAGAGAAAGGTGACAATAATCAGGATACATATTATAAGCAACTAACAGAGAAGAAAATAGTTACCTCCATTCATGTC